GTATGTAACTCACAGAAGGGAACGTTTCCGACCCCATAAAGTATATATATTCTTGATCAGCATCAATAGGCGAGTCGATAGAGCCATGTCTGATGAGCGCCTAGTACTCAGAGACTATAAGAGCTAGAGCCACCAGATTTTGCACACTTTTTCAAGTGTATTTAAAAAATGAACCACGCCCCCTTCCACCCCCGCAAAAGGGCGAAAACCTCCCAAATTTTAAAGATAAAAGAAAACTTCCGTAGGGAATGACCATATCTATCAGATCACCAAATTCGGATCTGATTCCATCATTTTTATAGAAAATGAAAAACTGAAAAACGTCCCGCACATTTGTTTTTTGCACATTCTCTCATTCACACTCTGCCTCTGCATTATGCGGCATCTGCCTCTGCCTTTGCCGATTTTTAAGCCACCCCGTCCTGAAGATTATATTTGTTGTTTTTTGTGCGCGGGGGCTGCCTCTGCCGTGAGTTTGCAGTGTGTGGGTCTAGGGAAGGGGGGCGAGCTAACGGAACACTTCTCACGCCAGTGTTGTAGATGTAGATGACAGATGAAGAAAAAATGTAAAATTTGACAAATAACCGCTAAGGTACAGATGTAGTACTGAGTGCCGGGTATAAAAGTTGTGACGCGTAAGAAGCGTCTCACACGTCCCTTCTCGTTGATATCTCGAATGTCCGGCCGGCTGAGCACCATACAAATTTTGATGTCATCGTTAATGCAGACCATTAACACTAATGCAATATCGAATGTCAAAGACTGACTGACCTGATCACACGCCACACAGAATATTGGATATATTTATGCACAAGCTGTGAAGGAAATTAATTTTAAAGTAGGTTCGAGGATGACACCAATCAATCAGCATAAGGTTAAGATTCACTGTAGGAATGTATTCTGCAAACAACTAAGATGCCAAGTGAATGAACTTTGTCAATTCGATTCTCAAAATTCGATAATTATCGAATCAAAAGATTTAAAAAAGTTCTTTTCTATCTATATCTCAGTATTCCAATCCGAATAGTCACCTGATGATGCATTCTATCGACTTTTTCCAGTAGAAAATATGTTATTAATGCTAATGTTACTTCATAATATTCTTAAACTCAGACTCCTAACTCGCGACACAGTCTAGTTTCGGTTTTAACTTTATCAGTAAATCATATTAAATAGAGATGTGCGGGGGAAAATAATTTTGTAGCATGTCATAAGCATCGCGCTTTTATATTCGTGTTTTTCCTTGCACGGTTCTTACATTTTTAATGAAACACACACATATTTTTGTATAGGTTTCATACTCTATAGCCGACCTCTATTCCTCTCTGTCTCCTTGTCGATGTGTTAGTTCCTTCTTCGCCCAGTCATTGTGAACGGAACGGAAATAGTTTTGAGTGCCTGGAAGTCGAGTAGTGTGACTTCTTGCTTAGGTATGTATATATGTACATATGAATGTATGATGTCTGTCTACATACATATACATACATTCATATGTATGTTTAGTATTGGGGCACGGGGTATAGGTGGCCTTCGCTCGGACCCTGCTAAATGCAAATCCTGTGAATGGCATTCACCTACACCCTCCATCCGCCCTGGCTTCAAGCCATATTCAAGGCAAATTGGCGACTTGGGTTTTGGGATTCAGCTTTTGTAGGTTCGGGTCGATTCCCTTTGCCTATTATGAGCAATTCTGATGTCACGATGTTCTCGGACTAACTCTTCATGGGAATGAATTGAATGCTTGAATGTGTTTTAGTGAAAAGGGTATTGTATAGTGTATCATGTATTGCACTCCAATAAAAAGTAAATACATCGTCGTCCTTAAAAGGTATTGAATCATCGGAGTAAAAAAGAAAATGACCGTGTTTAAATTGTCCCTTGTCCTCTTTATTGATTTCCTTGTTTTTCTCATATTTTTTTTCTGACCTCCAAAACTTGTGTTTTTGTAGTTGTAACATATTGATATTTTTTGTGTGCCTTTTTATTGCAATTACTGCCCTGATTCAGTATACATTCATATGTATGCATATGCATATGGATGTATGTATGTATGCTTGACTTTTCCTGGCGCGTGATTAACTGCGATATTAACTTAATGCGAACAGTTCTTTTCTGGCCCTGTGTCATGCAAATGACCAAGGTCTGGCCCGGTTCGGCCCGGCCCAGTCCAGTCGAGGCTTACTAGGCTCGGTCGAGTGCACACCGTGTGTTTGCAAGTTACAAATAATTTTAGTTTTGTTTCAGGACTCGTACAACTGGCATACTGTTACTTGCATACCCAACATTCGCCTCGGATAATAAAATAGCATTAGACAATAGCCCATTGGTTCTCGTGGGGAGGAGCATGAGTTAATCAGTGTCAGGTTCAGGAATGATTGAGAAGGAACCACAGTCAGACGAGGTTGGATCCGCGGTGGGGCTGTCCCAAGGCACCTCATCGCCTCAGTTCGCGCTGCAGGCTATTAATGTGGATCTGTTAACTTGCAACGGCTGGAAGGTGGCAGCGGCAACAGCTTGTTTGCCACTCGCGGCTGTAAAGTTGTTGGCTTTGTCGCCGACACTTACAAATTGCCCCCAGGAGCTTCATGTGTCGATGTAAATGAGCTTATTTAAACGAATCGGTGGCATCGTCCTTGGGCGTCTATTGATGGCCACTAAGTGTGCGGATATCGACTCCTTAGACGAGTGTGGCAGCCCCAAAGGTGAGGTAAGCACGTTGACAACGTTGACAGGCTCTTAGCGTTTTGTGTAAAAAATGGATGGCCGACATCTGTGCAGCAATAATAAGGGTACAGTTCAATGAAGAGTACACATCCGCTGAAAAAATGCACAATGAGAAGGGACGTGTGAGACGCTTCTTAAGCGTCACAACTTTTATACCCGGTACTTACTGGAACATCTGTACCTTAACGGTTTTTTTTTTTCAAATTTTAAATTTTAAATTATTTCTCCATTTTTGATCAACATTTACATCTACATCACTTCTGACGCCAAAACGCTCCTTTAGCTCGCCCCCTCCCCTAGAGACACAGTCTGCTGAGGCACTGCAGAGGCAGAGGCCGCTGACTACACGAAGCAGAGAGTGAATGAGAGAATGTGAAAAAAAACGAGAAGGGACGTGTGAGACGCTATTTACGCGTGAAATTTTAAATTTTTTCCTCATCTGTCATTTTCATCTACAACACTTCTCACACCAACACGCTCCGTTAGCTCGTCGCCCTTCCCTAGACTCGCACACTGCAGACTCGCGGCAGAGGCAGCGCCCGCACACACAAAAAAACAAATATAAGCTGCAGGACGGGGTGGGTTAAAAGTCGCACAGGCAGGGGCAGGGGCAGAAGCCGAGTGAAGCAAAAGCAGAGTGTGAATGAGAGAATGTAAAAAGAACAACAAAAGCTGCGGGACAGGGTGGGTTTAGCCACTGAAAATTAATTTCTCCATTCTGGCTATAATAATGATCCGTTCGGATCCCAACTTGGTGAACTGATATATCTGGCCATTTCCTAGGGAATGGCGTTTTTAGTATTCTTTTATATTCAAAACTGTAGATTTGGGAGGTTTTCGCCCTTTTGCGGGGGCGGAAGGGGGCGTGGCTCATTTTTGAAATACACTGGTTTCAGTGCGAGCATATAGCAGTCTGGATTTGGTGGCTCTAGCTCTTATAGTCTCTGAGAACTAGCCGACAAACAAGACGGACAGACGGATGGACGGACAGACGGACATGGCTCTATCGACTCGTCTTTTGATGCCGATCAAGAATATATATACTTTATGGGGTCGGAAACGCTTCCTTCTGTGCGTTACATACAACCATTATTCGCACAAATACAATATACCCTATTTACTCTTCGAGGACCGGGTATAACAACATAAAATGCCTTGTAATAATGAAAGATGGTATTTGATTATTCTTTCAATAAGAGATTCAGTACCCTTCCAGTTGGGAAGTCTAGTTGGAATCTCTTTTAGTATGAAAACGTTTATCTGACAACCACTGCATCTGTCATTTAGATAAACTTCTTACAGGTACTGAAACTAAACCTACTCCGTAAGAGGTTGAGTATTTTTGGTTATTATCCGATCCATTACAAAATTATGGCAACTCGTTTGGGCATGTATAGACATAAGCAGATCCTTGCCAGGGATAGAGAACGAACACGTCAATCATCAGGTAGCCCATAGCGTGGGGTTCCTGTTGGCTCTAAAAAGCCCCCTTCCATTCATCAAAAGTGACACAATAAAATCATTTGGTAAACAAAGCCATACGATATTTTCTATTGTATGTGGACTGTAACTGCACTGCGCTCCATTAGAGATATCTCTGTTTGTGAGGGCTTGACGGATGTTTGCACTGGCCACGCCTGAAAGTATGTTGTGAAATGTATATCTGTGATAGAAAAGTGACTGCAAGACGCAAAAGGCAGTTGTGAAATATCACCATTACCCTGCAAGAATAATAGTGAAGTCTACTCTCAGTCTGAGAGTCACAGTAGAAATCATCTACGACACTACATACTCTTATATGCATGTATATTCCTGATATTTCCTTTTGTCTGCTTGCATAGGTTTTACCTATTGCTGCTCCTGGAATCTCCAAAGGGGGCATCGAAGTTGAAGAAAGCTGCATCAAAACTCTCCCGAAGTTGTGCTATTGGTCCCCTCTGAGGACGACGTTAGAACATGCAGATGGGCCTGCATCCATGTCGTCTATTAAAGGAGAATTGCTGTCGTACAAAGGGGCCTTTCGCATTGGAGGATGTGTGCTTGGTAGCCGAAACAAATGGATGTGGATGATGTTGATTCTGTTGTCGTCATGGCATAATTTTCATTGCTACTTGTAGAATCGTTTCCAGGCAATTCTTTGGCCGTGTTTGTGGGGAACTCGAACTTGTGGCAAGGCTCTAAATTTTCGCTGTAATATAAATATTCTGAACTGTTTCATCACACAAACACGGAAATAACCATACATATGTACGTGTGTACTCGCTTGTAGTCTTATCCCCAGTTCGTTTAACTTGTCAACCAGGCAGGACTTTTCGTTTTATTTAAAATATGTTTCAGCAGCTTATACAACTCCAGCAACGGCTCTTGGCGGCGCAATGGAAAAGGTCCTGGCGTGCAGCAAAGCAGCCGGACAAACCGAAGAGAGCAAACGAAGCCCCCGAAGCACAGGCCAAGGCAAAGGATCGCAAGAAAACCGGTGCGACTTCCGAGGGGGTGGTCGCCCAGAATAATCCACCGAAGTCTTGTCTGACGAACAAGAAGACTACCTTTGGTCCCCTACACGACTGCGAGCGCGTCTTTCAGAACTTATACGGACGCCACGATTGGCGCATGACAGGTGCTTGCAAACGCGGCGACTGGTATCGTACCGCAGACCTGCTGGACAAGGGCCCCGACTGGATAATGGATCAGGTGTGCCAGAGCGGACTTCGCGGACGAGGGGGCGGTGGCTACTTCACGGGGACCAAGTGGAACTTCCTTCGCACCGCCGAAGCAAACGCGGACAAGGTCCTCGTTATGAACTGCGCCGAGGGCGAGCCGGGTACGTGCAAGGACCGCCAGATCCTTCGCCATGAACCGCACAAGCTAATTGAGGGCTGCTTGCTGGCCGGATTTGCGATGGGCTGTACTCGAGCCATTATCTATGTGCGAAATCGCTTCTACAATGAGGCGTGCAATCTGCAGTTCGCTTTGGCGGAGGCCTACCGCCACGGACTCCTAGGCTCCAGCGCCTGCAACACGGGCATCAGGTTCGACATCCTGGTGCAGCGAGGGGATCGCTATCTCTGTGGCGAGGAGACGGCGCTGGTCAAATGTCTGACGGGCGAGATTGGGCGGCCGCACAGGCGTCCGCCCTTTCTCACCGATAAAGGGTACTTCTCGCATCCCTGCCTGGTGATCAATGCGGAGACCGTTGCAGTGCTGCCCACCATCCTGCGCAGGGGACCAAGGTGGTGGGCCGACCTGGGGCGCTCACACAACTCGGGCACCAAGCTCTTCAACATAAGCGGACACGTGAACTGTCCCTGCACCGTTGAGGAGGAGATGTCAATGCCAATGCGCGATCTTATCGAAAAGCATGCGGGAGGAGTGCGCGGCGGCTGGGACAATCTGTTGGCCGTCTTCCCCGGCGGTCTCTCCACCTCTCTGATCAACAAGCAGGTCGCCGCGGAGGTGCTAATGGACTTTGAATGTCTGGAGGCTGCCGGAAGCAGTCTTGGCTCTGGCGCCCTGATCGTTGTAAATAAGCAGAGCGATCCCATAAAAGTCATGCTCCGCTCCATCCAGTTCTACGAGAAGCACACGTGCAAGCAGTGCACCTACTGCCGTGACGGAGCCATTTGGCTGCCGGAGTTGTTCGACCGCTTCGTCAGAGGCGAGGCTCATCCACACGAGATCGACTGGACCCTGGCTATAGGGAAGAAGATTAAGGACAGCAATCCAATCTGCGGCTTAGCCCAGGGACAGGTCAATGTTGCCTGCAGCCTGGTTGACAACTTCAGACCTCAAATCGAAGATCGCATTCTCAAGTGCATCAAGGCTTGACGACTGACCGGCTTAGGGTTATTCTATATTTATCAGTTCTGTACTCATTAAATTATAAATTGTGCCTCGGACTGATGTCAAATGCTTAAACATATGTACATATGTATGTACATATGTGCGCAAGAGTAGTCCGAGGACACAAAGGTTTACAAACGTCAATCGCTGATGCATTTTGAACTTCCTGAATGCGTTTTGCCTGAATGAACGCAATTAAGATGCATGTTTTGCAGAGATATATCCATAGTCTCTGTGCTCGTATTGGAATTGGTGTTTACTGGTGAACAAATCAACAGTTTAGACGAACCATTCAATCTATTGGGATGGTCTCCCCTCGCCACTCGTTGCTGGCTTGGGTGCTTTTCGTTGAGTTTGCGGCAGATGAACGCCATTATGGGAGCTCTGGCCGAGGACACAGCCAAATGGGAAAAGCTTTGTCGAGGAAGCTGAATATGGTGTGGGAGTAGAACGTGTGGGTCAGATTCAGAGTCAGAGGACACAATGTTGGCATAAACAAGCAGCAGGGCATTTGTCTGGTGTTTGAATGATTGCAGATACAGCAACGACAGCAGCAGGGAATGATAGGAGCAGCAACGTGTCCTTGTCCGCCTTAGTGCCTAGCAGTCTTTGTAGTCTGCAGTTTGTCCTTGGCATTATCCTTTCCTAGCTTTACTGTTCGCTGCTTGCTTTGACAATAATCAAGGTTTTGGCTGAAGCAGTATCCCACTGTCCTACTAATTCGTTTACAAACGCCATACTTGTGGAGAGACTGCAGCTGCATGCCCCGAGCTAGGTTGAGTCGGTTTATTCCGCATCGGAGGCACCAGCCTGGACACAGCCTGAGTCGCTCTTATCTCAATTCGGAACTCATTCATCCGGGCAGCCGAGCACACTTGACACTTGATGACACTCCCAGCGGTGGACAGTGTCCGCACCAGTACCGTTTAGGCCAAGATAAATGCTCTAATAATTACGGCCCATCCTGCAGCAAAAACTCCAAGAGCCTGTAGATAGTTAGCCCCAAGTAAAGAGCTAATTAGGAAATGTGCAGTAATAGATCCACGTTGTCGAAAGGTCTTGGTATGGAGATTAAAAACTTGAATGTACATACATATATAAAGCATATAACAAAAGGAAGTGTTTCTAAACTGTAGTCAAGCAACGTAGTCAAGGTAGAGGCAGTGCCTCACAGTGCGCGTGTCAACACATGGCTCAAAGGAGGCAGCTGGCTTGCCAGTCCATCCTGCGGCAAAGAGGAAACGGGAGAAGCTCTTTAAAAGGCGTAGCAAATGCGGGCTGTCGTATACATTTCACACTCTGCTTCTTTGCTTCAAGGATCCGGGATTGTTAGCGTTGGACTCGCCAGACTGATTGTCGCACTCAAGAGCAGTCGTCAGGCAGCAGGAAGGGCCTCTTGGCACCGAGCTTCGGAGCTGGTGGGACACATTATAAATTACGGGTGAAAACCGCTGGAAACTGGAAAGTTTTCGATGCCTGCCGTAAGTGGTAACACTTACTGAGAAGTTTTCGGTCTTTAATACGCGATTCTGTCTATTGATACTGTCTATAAATCACATGTTCGCTGGCTATATCAAGGATACACAACCAGGAAGGCAACTGCTTATTAAAGTCCAATTAAAAGTCTTACTCCCCAGATAGTCATCCATACGTTTAATTGCACATTATCTCAATTTTGTGCCTTTGGGAGTGCTCAAAGCTTAATCACATGTGGGTGAGAAGCGTATTAAGGTATCGATTTTGCCTTGTACTTTTTGAGTCTTCTATACTAACTGCGCACACTGTGGACCTGTATTTAGATTAAAGCTCTGATGCTCCATCCAACGTGGACTGGTCGCAAATATATGTATATGTATGTACCTGTATATATGTACATACAAATGTATATGTAAATACATAAGTCATTCAAAATGTTCAATTGTTTAAATGGGTCAAGGGAAACAGGGGCATTCCATAATTCTATATTCATTAGTCTAGCTATTTGCTTTAATTAAATTGCTTTGTTTGATACCGGTTCTCTTGCATGAAACGTCATATTAAATAGTCCTCTTAAGTTGGTTTATATGTACATATGTAACATGTACTATACATGGATGCTCCCATCTCATCGTCATGTGCACTCCATCGCAGCTGGCGGATTATATTGCTCAAGCATAATCTCGAATGAAAGCGAATGTCTTGAATTCCGCAAATTAAGGCTACGCAGCGCAAGGCGGAGTCGTCTTTGACTTCCGCTGCCTTTTGTTCTGTACTCTCGTTCTGTTTCATGGCTCGTGCCTGGTCTGGCACTTGATTCATGCTCAGCTGGAATGCTTGGCATAACTTTCGCTGGCTGCTGCGCTTACTTTCTTTCACTTTCGGACGTCCGCCCAACCACGGCCCGGACAGGACTTGGTCTCCTGCTTTGGGCCAGCAGCTCGCATTGCTGTAATGAAGAAGCTTGGCACTCGGGACCCGTTTGGGCTGAGCTTTTCACTTGAGACGACTAAGGGACTCCCTCCTCATATGTCACACGTTCCGACGCTCCCACGCTGTCGGCGGCCCGGTTCATACATATGTATCTCTTGCCTGTAATAATAACTCATTCAACTCTTTCCAGGTTAGCTGATCCCTGCTGTTCATTTGCCCCAGCTGTCCGGTCCGTCCCTGGTATTTGGCCAGTCGATACAGATGTTGGGTAAATTCACCTCGAACCATGTGCAGGTCTACCATCAATATTCCCGCACTGTGTCCGTGAAGAAGCCCGTCAAGGTGAGTACTTGTGCCCTGTGGCATGCGGCACGTGTCCTGTTTCCCCAACCAGAGACAGGGCATCTTTGTTTGCGCCCTGCTCTCCTAAGTAAACACAATTAGCATGCATTAAAAGAACCCTTTCTTTCTTTTGGTGGCATCCATGGGTTGCCTCATAATTGGGTGCAAGGTGAATGGGTGAATTATTGTGTCGTATTTATTTGTGTGTGGAAATGTGTTTTCCACACAATAAATGTGTTTGTTATGTGTGTTTTCGTCTTTATTTGTTTGCACAAAAGCGATCTACTAATTATTCCCATTGTGTCAATTACTACGTATGTATGTATGTATGCATGTGCAATGTACATATGTAAATTTTGATATCTTTCTTCATATAAACCGACCGACGTCCCACTGCATGTGACTTGACACCCGACTCCGCATATCTGAAACCAGAGACCGGATTCACTTTATATCTATCCAGCACGAATTCCCTTCTGCCTGCCTGCACGACAAAGCCAAGCCAAGAAGACAATAAATAATTTATATTTCATAATCATTTTTCTTACTCCCAGCAGCCCGCGTGTTGCACTTGCCGTCAGTAACGTATCAGACTTGAATCAACTGAAGCGGATCCTAAGCGTCCTCTGGCAGCGCTCGCACTTCGCCCGTTGCCTGTTGTAGGTTTGCCGGTTGCAGGTTGCCACACCAAGCTGGGCCTCTGCTCCGTCTCCCTGTCTGTCCCGTTTATGTGTGAGTGTCTGTGCGTCCGCTGTGGACGATGTTGAAACAGAAACGTTTGGCCAAACAGAAGCCCAAAGCGAAACCGGTAAGCAAATCGAACCAATGGCCATCCATCTAAAGCCGCAACGGCTTTAACTCTGACTTCTGTCCTCTCCAGATACTCCATTCTATACCTCTATAATTTCCACTAATATCCTCACAGCTTTATTTCCTTTCGGAAAATCCTTCTCTGCTCTTTACTCTCTGATATCTCAATCATTTCGACTGACTGCCAGACTGCTTTGTTGTGGAAAAATTGGACACTCTCTGCTCTGTGATTGTATATCTGCTGCTCTACTCTTTTGTTTTCACCACTTTCCAAACAAGTGAAAACTGTTTAGTTTTGTTGTAGAAAAATTACTGTTGCGTGTTCTAGCTTTTTTGAGTGCTACTTCAAAATTATACGGTCACATAGAACATTCGTACATTCGTAGCCTTCATCTCCCTTTTTGAACACACATACAATAAAGATATTTTTTTGATGCATTTTACACACTGTTTTTGTTGGCGATGTTCCTGAAACTCTGAAACTTGACATTTCCCGCCCATCCGCGTCATTTTAAACCAAACAGAACAACAGAACAAATCCTTGCGTGAAGTGATGTTCTTCCTCTGTAATTATGATTTTGAGTTACATACTTGTTTCTATAATTAAAGCACATTGAACTTTCGAGTAGCTGTTACAGCTGTTAAAAGAATCGGATGTTGTTTTCGATCAATCAGATCTTTGAAAATAGTTTGAACAAACTGTTCTATCTTTTGCTCTCTATAAGTGTAACACATCTACATATGTACATCCTTATGATTGTTATTAAAAATTATTATAAGTGATATCAGCGAATAGAAAAGAGCCGGGCAGCTACGCTCTCTTCTTACTCTCACACACTCTTATCGCTCTTTCTGTACCATCGCTCTTGTTATGAGTGTTCGTACCCATTATACTCGCAGGTGGAAGAAGGGTATAAGCTGTTTGCGTAATTGTAACAAATTGTAATTTGCGTAATTGTTTGTCATTTCAAAAAACATTACTATAAAATATGTCTTATAAAAAGAAACAATAGAAACTAGACACAAGGCAAAGAATATATGTACACAAATACATACATATGTATGTAATGGCGGGGGTATCTGATAGTCGTCTTTCTCGACCTCAGCGCTGTTACTTGTTTTTGTTCGTTATTCCATGCTCTCACTCTCATTCGATTGTATTGGCGCTACATTTGAGCCTCTAATTGAACGATAACTCCGTCAGCAGTTCTCGACGCGACACTGAAGCATGCGGGAATCGTTGGCTCTGAAAGCGCATCTGGCAGGCGCTAATCGTAAACGAAATCGTGGATCGTTGGGCGCATAGTGAATACGCGTAAATGTTGCATGTGCACTTTCCGAGCTTGTGGCCATAACTGTGCAGATTCACCTCTGACGAGCAGCTAGGCTAGCCATGTTCTTCCATACCAACTGGGTGTTTGTAAGTACAAGTAGATGTTGATCACTCAATGAGTAATTTACTACTCATTATCTAACAGACCGGTAGTCGTGTTCG